TAGTGAGAGACTAAAGAATTCGGTTGAGTGATCAAACCAGTTGGTATCGACGTAAAGGGTCGATGATTTCCTGATGTATGCTTGTATTGAAAATCAGTAGGTGACACGAATCAGGCTGGTGATACGACGGTCTTGTCACTCAGATAGATATCTGTAGCTCTGTTTGACATGAGCTTTGCATCTTCAAAGCGCAAAATAATGCTGCAAGACTGGGTGTCGTCTACCCCGGCGCCGATGCCTGAAAGTCAAGAATTAGCTACAGTGAAATGTTTCTCCTATTTGGGTAGCTGCATGAAGACATACGGTAGCATAGTCAATGAGGCGCCCGACTTTCCAAGGCTCGAGCAGCTTACGCAGGACTGAAACACCTTTGGTGTAAACGTGATGTTTCGTTGAAACTGAAGGGCCGTGTATACTGCACTAGCGTGCGGTCAGTTCTGCTTTACGATTGCGAGACCCTCAATTTGAGCGTGAAAGATAATCGTTGTCTAAAAGTGTTCAACTGATGATGTTTACATAGTTTGGCGCGGGCTAGTTGCAGCAAACGTGTAAGCAACTCTGAGGTAATTCGTCGTGTATTTGGTATTGATTCGATGTAGAATTCATTGTCCCATCGAATTCAGATTAATCCGCTTCGCTGGTTAGGACATGTATTGCGCATGCCCAGCCATCGTCTGCCGCACCGCGCCTTATTCGCAGTTGCGGCTCCAGGTTGGAAGAAATCAGGTGGAGATCGACAGATGACGTGGAGGTGAGGCAAGAAATGCACAGAGTGATTAGGAAGAATCGGTGTCTCTCGTCTTCCAGGTCCAGGGATCCGAAAGACTGTGCAACTGGTTGGTTGGAGACACTGAAGGATATGGCGACTAATCGACAGCAGTGGCGTTCTTGGTGTCATTTCTTATCAGGTCAGAATGCTTGAAAAGGTATGTACGCACAGTTAGATTGTGTAATCTGCCTGTTGACCATAGAGGTTCACTTTCTTTATCTCCCTCCAAAATTAGGCTCTATTCCTCTCAATCTCATGCTTTAATACTTGATTTGCGAACATTGGGAGTTTGACAGCGAGCAGTGAAGTTCGCTTCACTGTATCTCGATGTACAATGATGATGGTGATGATGTCTGAGCTTACACCGCACTCACCAAACGGTGGATCCCAATCCTACTGTAGCTTTCTTTTAGATCGAAATAAGAAACGATCCACGAGCGACTAAGCCAGTGAATAGAGTGAGGAAGGAGAAAACAACTTACCGTGATTCCGCCCCCGGCTTCTTCAGCCCACGTGTCCAGCATGTGTTTCCATTCCTCCAGTGAAAGACTCGGTGTAAGGCGAACATCAAATGAGGCCGTGAGAGACGATGGGAGAACATTGTATTGCACGCCACCGCTCATCATGGTCAAATTTACCGAGGTTACATCATCCAAAGTCAGCTGGTCATTGGACTGTTCCAGACGCTCCTTTTCTTTGTTGCGAAAACGCATAATACTGTGACAAATGTTGAATGAGAATAGGCATAGGGACAATTAGTTGCCGGTACACGGAGAGGATCCGTGGTGATCTTATGGAGTTTTCATATTGAAAAATTTATCTCAAATAAATTCTCGGCGAGAAAGCTAAATAATGGTATGGTAAAAGTAGCGATAAACCAACACAGTTGGGAAGCACCGGACCGGAGTTTAGCTCCCGCTACAGCTCACCCAGCACGCTAACCAGAGTTGGAACTCCAAACTCCTAGCATAAAAGACGAGCACGTCACGGCCAATGACAATCAGTACCCGATCGGGTTGACCAAAATTTGTTCACCTGCCAGCATCAATGACAGTCAGCTAGTCAGCTTCCGTAGCTGATAGAGAGAGAAGGGAGGTAATCCACTGGCTGAGAAACCTGAATTGAGCGAGAAAGATCGTGTAAAGGGGGTGACCGTACTGGGTTCGAATCCCGTCATTACCGCCCACCCTCGTTTCTGTATTCCCCAGACAACCTATGTTTGGCCTCAGCCCCCTTCCTTTTTTTTATTACACACCTGAGTGTGATGAACAGCAGAGGGGGCAAACCCCATGGTCACGAGAACCTGCTGTTCAGTGGTAGAAACCGGCAACCTAAGCTCCGGGACTGGGAGTGGCGAACCCCTAAAAAGCCCCGACAGGTCAGGGGTGGTACTGAACCGGATGACAATAGAGCTCCCTATCACCAAAGTCGAGTGGTGCTGGCGGGGCTGGAACCTCGGACCATAGGGTTCAAATCACACCGGTGACAGTGACTAAACCACTGTTGATAGTACATTT